AATGCCACATTCTCTATCATCCCTTTGGGTTGCGGGATTTGGACATGAAGCCACTTGGGACTTGGGGCATTAACACTACAATTCACATATATCAAGGGGGAAGGGATTAAGTGTCGGTGGAGAGCTGACAAAGTCGTTGCAGCTTCGAAGAGCACCGAAAACCCATGGCAGGGCTAGCCTCGCAGCAGCGGCAACGACGGCATCCAAGGGCACGAACCTGAGTGGTCGTTCAGTCCAGAAAGAGAGTGAGTGTGAGCATGCCCGACACTTCTGTGCTTGCATTGTGGACATGGGCATGAGCATGATGAAATAGGCATGTCTGTGCTTGCGAATGCTCTCAGCAGACACATGCACTGATGTCATGTTCCAGTTACGTCTTTCTCATGAATGTTCAGGACCTCACCCTACCAGGTTCTGATATCGCTACAAGTTCCGTAGCCTATAGGGTTTATAATGGCATCCTACGGAACAAATTAAGATTTCGTAGGTGAAAGTAGCATCTCGCGAGAAGTTTCTTGAACACTGCGGACTTGTCAGAATGGCATGGCAATACTCCGGATGGAACTGGGGCGGCTGGGATTCCCAGTCGAGTGGCTGGGATTGGGGCCATAAGGGTGGCCACACTGGAGCTGCAGCTGGCAAGGCTGCGACGACAGCTGCGCCGAGTGCACATGGAGGTGCTGCCTCGTCGGGGGGCGCTGGCCTTCCTCCGGGTTGGGAACAGGTCACCGATGCTATGAGTGGCAAGGCGTATTTCTGGCACCCCGAGACAAACCAGACGAGCTGGCAACCGCCTTCTATGCATGCTGCCGCTGCAGGCTCAGCTACAACGCCTTCTATGCCGACTGCAAATGCCAGAGCCACAGCATGGAAGGACAGGAAGCGCAATATGACTCCAGCGCAGAAGAAGGCAGAGGATCGACGCAAGAAGGACGGGCGATCCAACCAAAATCGCGAAAAGGTGACTGGAAAGTTCGTGGCCAAGCTGGCGGCCAAAGACACTTCCATAGGCCAATTGCAAGCTCTGTACACAACGGCTATGGTGCTCGGCAACCAGAAAGAACAGGAAAGGAACGATGCCCAGGTGGGGGGGATGCTGTAATTGTACTTGGAGAACATGCAAGGGCCTATAGGGGTGGGGAAGTCAGACTTGGAGGCGGAATTCTGTTCTAAGTTTGCTCGCAACTCGAAGGAGGAGCGGGATCAGCTGGCAGAGAAGCTTCGCAAGATGGAGAGCTCCATGATCAACATGCAGATGGAGCTGGAGGCTGGGTCGTGAGTGAGGTAAAGTGCAAGATCTCTGTCAGTGACCAAGTCCTTCCATTTCAGATGCTGGCATCACACAAGTCCATTGCTTCAGAAAAGAAGCCTGTGCAGATGAGCCAGAAGATCGGTGCCGTGCACATGACCCGCATCGAGGACTTGGAGAAGGACAAAGCCCTTCTCCAGGACACATTGAAGGACAGTCCATTGCTGCAGTCAGCACACCAGCTCGGGTTTGGGACTCCACTGTTTCCTCACGACCCCTGCCCATCAGGAGCAGTCCCGGTCGCAGACGACCCATGCGGCCGAGGTGGAGGAGCTCAAGAAGGACCTCGAGCGACATCGGGGTCGGCGCCTGGAGCAGCAGGGCTTGGCCGAGAAGATCCTCGCGGAGCGACAGAGTCTGCAGGACCCCTGTTGCCGCCCCGTGGAATCTGCTTGCACCAGCTCCTGCACTCTGTTAGCGAAAGGACCAGCTCGCTGCGGAGAAAGCCAGCACAGCGCTGGCGAAGGCACCAACATCCTACACTGCACATCAGGGGCGTATACTCTGCAAAGGACCCACAGTGAAGGTTTAGCTGCAAAGTTTAGCTATGCCCGCGGTCATGACAGGCGGATCTCCTCAGCTACAAGAATCAGCACGAGGCCGAGCGAAAGATTTGGACGCAGATCGAGGCGCATGAGTTGGATGAAATCCAAACATGATAGCAGATGTACACCCAATCTTCATGCGCCAGGAGAGAAGCAAGGACGTGATGTTGAAAGTCGATCTCATCACCGACGACTACGAGAGGCAGAAGGCCGGCCAGCAGGAGGGTGATGTGTGGAGTTACATTACCCGGAGAAAATAAAGTGTGCTCACTCAACTAACCCTCTCCAATCAATGTCAGGTCTTGAGCCGGGGCCTGGAGAGAGAGCTGAAGGATGCCCGCGATGAGCTGGCCAGCCTCAGGAAGGCCGGCAGCTGTCTGGGGTTTTTAGGGGTTGCTAGGGCATGCACTTTGAACTGACGATGGCTCAGGAACTCGCCACTGCCCCTACCGAGCCGGCGATGAGTTCCGAGGAGGATATCCAATACAAATCTCTCTCTCTCTCTCTCTCTCTCTCTCTCTCTCTCTCTCTCTCTCTCTCTCTCTCTCTCTCTCGCTAGTCTGCATAGGAAGACTCGCCACCCATGGAGCCCACGGAGATCGCTACAAGTGTGGTGCCCTCGCCGTGCGAAGAGCTACCTGGCAGAATAATGGTGAGTTCCCTTCCTCAGTCTAGCTATGCCTCGACAAAAACCAAGGGACGGCTGATGTTTCGCAGCATGACCCGGAGAGACCATGACAGCTGCAGCTTACGCCAAAGAGCGCAGCTGCATCAGCTACAGTCATACATTTAGCTCAGTCACAGAGGCCCTTGTTCATTTAGGATCAGCTTCACCTGTGGGAACCTAGCGTTCCAAGTTCCAACAGATTACGAGTGCATACATGAAGAAGTGGTTTGATTGACTGAGTTAAATCATGATGACGAGACTTCGGCATGCAGGAGCTAGGGACCCGGCCTCAACCGGTCTTCCGCTTAGCATATAACATAGAAATCCTAAACATCCTAGGCGTAGGCCGGGACGCGGAGGGCGGTTCAGAACGGGTGGGCTGGCAACGCGGAAGCCAAAAGGATGACCTCTCCGTTCAGTCTCTCCGCTCCTTGCAGCTGTTGCAAAAGAGCCCTTCTCGGCCATCGGAGCCCAGGTCCCTGCAAAGCACCATGGCTTCGGATAAATTCCCTCGATCTTCAGACGGGGCCTCAGTCATGGCTGCAGTTACTCCTACTTTTACTTCTACATAGTAGGAGCAATAGAAGCAGTAGAATGAATAGAAGTCGTAGCCTAGTGGTACTATAGGACTCGCAAACTTTGAGCGTCATATTTATAAGTACTGCGTTTGATGTGGGATCCAGGTAGCACTAACTCGCGACTATGGCATCGGTTTACTTACTGCTACCATTGTATTTAATGAATAGTACGATTAGCTAGGTGCACATGTCAACATGCTCCCGTCCTCGTCTGTCTCCTGAAAGAAGTGTCGACGTCGTCCCGGTCGTCGTCGTCTCGTCGTCGGCCCTATCGCTGCTTTCTGCAGCATTGTCGTCGAACCCGGCACCGTCCCGGTGCACTCAGAGCTCGCCCCAGCGCCGTCCCGGCACATTTAACGGGGTCTTTCTCGACCCGGCACCATCCCGGTGCACTGCAGCTAGGCCTCGGCGCCCTCCCGGCGCACTTCGACCACCCGACGTCCTTCCGCAGGAGCTCCCGTGCGCCGGGATGGCGCCAGAACAGAGATGAAGCCGGCGCCGGGACGGCAGCAGGCTAAAGACCCCACACATGCACCGGGATGGTGCTGGGGCACACCCTCAGTGCACCGGGATGGTGCCGGGTGTTAAAAACAGCCTGACAAGTCACATGTAGCACCAGTGTATAGGAGCTACCTGTAACCTGAGTATAGGATTCTTCTTTTATCTTGTTTGTCTAGAGGCTTAAAACTTAAATCTGACACTACCGCAGCTCTAATCGGATCCTTGCTTTTGGCTTAGTGCCACATAGGATCTATGCTCTGTCTAAAGCCTGCTATGCACCAACTCCACAACACTAAGAACTAAGAGGTTCACGGGAGCATGAATCAAATTGGGATACTTACATACGAACATACACACGTACATACATATGTACTTACTTACTTACCGACTTAAGTTACTTTACCCATTTACTTCGTACCTGCTTGCTTACTTAAATACTTATATATGTGTACATATGTACGTACATACATGCGTGCACACAGACACACACACAAACACACGCACACATGGAAAAACGTGCAAGCACGCGTTTTCGCCTGCGGAGAATTCAGGAACGTGCAAACTTTTCTGCGATAGGGAAAGCCATTCTAAGCCAGCGGCCAAACTCGCTTTTTTCGATCCCAGAAAATGAAAATCCTGAGTATTGCTTCTTCCGCAAACACTGGCATCGAAGACGTGCTTGGACTCGCACAGTACTTTGGTCGTCTGTGGTTTGTGCTATAATTGTATATAGGGTGCTGTGACCGAACAGCAGAACAATATCCATTTCGATTTGACATGTTCAACTACAAAAAAAGATTTCTACAGAAATCAGGCCCGTGCTTTTGGAATGCCGAATATGCAGTTCTGGATCTGTTCTTTCTTTTTGGTGCCCGCACGCTTCTCTTTTGTTTTCTAATATAGGTTTTGTATTGATTTGTTTGGGCTACCTGCAAGCCTTCAGAGGTGGGGGGAGTTGGCACAGCATAGCAAAACATGCCTTTATCGCATTGCCGGCTAAGTCGACTTAGCCGACTTAGCCCAAGTCACCGCTAACTCTACTAATCCGACTTAGCATAAGTCGATTTACTGACATACCGTAACTCTCCTATTTGACATATCCTAAGTCGATTCAAGCGTCCGGCTAAGTCGTGACGACTAACTCCTCGGAGTCACATAGCCTAAGTCAGCCAAGGAGATAGTAAGTCAGCTAACCACTTACTAACCCAACAGGGCCTCCAAGTAGAACTCCTCTAGACGCGTTTCGTGTTTTGTTTTCACGGGGCTTCTGGAGCATACGAAATTGTAAAGTGTATTGGCACTGTGAAGGGACATGGGACTTAATGATTAATGTTCCTCAATCCTCCTTCTTTTCAAGGAATCCTCGAGCAAACGCCCCCCCCACATGGAGCCCGTTTGAGGCGCGGAAGAGCATCGCCAACTTTGCACAGATGAGCTTCTTCTCAAAGGTGCATTCCGCCAGGTCTTTGGAGATGTACGGATTGGGGTCAGGTTTGGGGACCATCTACCGCCCCAAGCTTCTTAGCCCTTAGCTCAGCACAGCAGACTCACTTCCTCAAAGTTTTCGGAAAACTTGCTGCGCGTGAGAAGCACGAAGGAACGACTATGAGGACTACTACGCCGGACTTTTTCGGGACTAGTCTATGGATCCACTCTCGAACTCCCCTTTGAAGTCGCACCAGCAAAAACAACATGCTTTGAGTTTAACACCCTGTTCAATTTTTACAAGAACTGCTGTTCTCCTCGAGCTCGATCCTCTAACAGAGCCTACCAGCCCTACGCCCAAGATCTGATGAATGTTGGGTTTCGGGTTTCCGTTAGTATACTGTCTCGAACACAATGTGTAGAGCCTTTCTTGTAGGTCTCAGTCTCCTTACCCTAAATGTTCATGTACCCATGTAGTATATACTTTGGCCTGAAAGTAGGCTCCTAGACACCGGAGCTCTGACCCCTAGAAGCATCGCAAGCCCTATACCCGAATACTTCTAAGGCCTGGGGCCTGGATCTTCTACACGGTTGAATACGAAAGAAAGAAACCCCAAAGAAAGGTGAGCAATTTCCAAGAATACCCTTCTGAAGCCCTGCAGCCATAAGCTTTGTGGCCACCCTCTACATAAATTTCTGGTGAAGCAGAAGCAAACGTCTATTCCTGGATCCCAAACTCTTGCAACTCTATTCTTTGGAGAGTTGCCCTTAACCACAAAGCCACGCAACAGTGTTTAACTCGGTTGAATTAACTCTTCTTAAATGAACCCCTTAAACCCATATAAACCACAGCCCTACAAACCCAAACCCAGAATCAGGAAGCAGAAGCTGGATGCGAAACTCCAAACCAATCCACAAGGATCGATCCCCCCAACGTGTGTGGAGTATGGATCCCTTATTGAACCCGCATGGTAGCCCTTGCAGGTCCCTCATAGGAGCCTTTAAAGATCCCTTACAGTACCCCCCTACAGGTTCTTTATACAACCCTTGTAGTAGCCCCTTACAGCTGCCTTAGAGAACCCTGGTAGTAAGCCTTAATTATAGGTCCTTCGTAGAACCCATGTAGGAGCCCCGTATAAATCCCATCGAAACCCTGAATTATAGGAATCCGTTATAGGAGTCCCTTATAGAATCAACCCTAAACCCTAAACGCGTCGCGACGAGGCAGCCTTGAACTGTGTGGCGGCTCAGTTGGATACGCACAAGATCGAGGCGGTTTCTGCAGCGCTTTTCGTTTTTTTTTGGGGGGGGGGTTTAGGGTTTATGCTTCTAGGCTGTAGAGTTGAGGGTTCTGGGGTTCAGGGTTTAGGCTTCTGTTTAGGCTCCGGGGTTTAGGGTTTATGCTTCTGGGGTTCAGGGTTTGGGTTCAGGGTTTGGGTTTCAGGGTTCCGAGTATTGGAGTGTGGCCGATATACAAGGTTGAGGGCTAGGGGGTTCAGGGCTCAGGGTTTAAAATGTGTTTATTGTGATCATATCTTTTTTACATGGTTTTCTGTCCATATTTTTTGGTGTTATACAATAAAAATAAGCAAATAAGTGTGTGTGTGTATATATATATATATGTTTATGCATGATGAAACGTTTTCTGGAGCAAAATTATGCTGGTCCTTTATGTCCAGGACTCATTGACAATCCGTAGATCCAACGGAGCAAGACAACACAAAGTTACGGCAGCAAGACTGCAAAACGCTAGCAATGTATCGCATTTTGCGGCGTTTGCGAACTGTCAACACCGATTCACCGCCCAATCAGATCATGACATCATCAGCAGAAAAGCAGCATATTGTGGTTGTAAACGCTTGCAACTTGATGACAAGAATCCGGGGATGCACCACCTGTCACAGTTTGGCTGCGTGCTTTTTCGAAGTCGATGTTCGATTTCTGGTCTTCGATACAAGGATTTGATATGAGACCACCCAAATGAAACATGCAGCCTTGGGTTCACTCTTCAGCTACATGAAAGCCCGACCATGTATGTAGATCCTACTGCATGAGCAAACCAGGTCGAAGCCAACCATGCAAGCTGACCTACAAACATGTTTTTTTAGGCCAGCGTCCCTTTGGCAAGTAGGCTTATCCTGCAGGGAACTTCCATGGAGATCCCCGCAGACGGTGTTGCCCGTACTTGTCCATTTCACGTCCACCGGCTCCACGGAGCCATCCCTGCAGAATTTCGTTAGCCTCACAGCAGAATCCCCATTCAGAATGTATTTAGCCACAGTGCTTGATACTTCGTCTACATGTCCGAATGCCCAATCGAAGAAAACCGACTACATCATTACATCTGGTAAAGGCCGGATCGGGCTCTTTGTGTTTGTGTGGGGTTTTGGAGCTGCGTAGATATTTCAAGCACGTGTCCGAATGCCCAGTCCGAGAAACCGGCTTCTTTTGGTAAGGCTCTATCGAGCTCTTTGTGCCTCTGGTGCTTGGGAGTTTCGCGTGCGGGCTTCAGTGTAGGGAGCCCGACGGGACATAATAATTTGCTTCTTAAAGGCTCTTTCGATGGATCCCAGTCGTTGGTGTTTATGTGTGCGAAGCAATGCGGTTGAAGCTTCATGACGTTTTAAACTTCATGCTTTGAGTTGGTGGCTTCGTTCTGATGGAGCATGCCGGCGCCTATTGGCACTGCAACTTAAACTTCGTCCGGCATGATGACATCGAAACATGTACTGGTTCTAAGCTTCTCCCGCTATCGGACATTGGAAAAATTCATGACATCGATCAACGAAAGTCCGTGCGTTCATCCCTGTCCGTCCGTCCGTCCGTCTGTCGTCTGTCTGTTCGCGAGCCCGTGCTCACCCTGTCCCTTCCTGCGTCCGTTTCGTTCAGTCCCATCCGCTCCGTCCCGTCGTGTGCCTCAGTCATGTCGTCCGTCCGTCCGTCCATCCCATCCGTCCGTCCTTGTCCGTATTCCGGTCTCTCCATCAGACCGGTCCGTCTGTCCGTCCGTCCACCCGCAATCCCTCCGTCCGGTGGTTTGTTCGTCCTTGCGAAATCCCTTCCGTCCGCCGGATCAATGGTAAATGGATCTGTCGGGCCGTAGCAGACTTTGGGGTTTTGGGGGTTGTGGTTGCAGGGCTTAGGGTTTGCGGTGTCTTCCGGGTTTAGGGCTTATAGGGTTTCCAGTTTTGACATTAAATTTATGTCTCCGGGACGCCGCTCTTGGACACCTCGAGGCTTTTGGAACCTCACTCATTACAGTGTAGAGCATCATAGAAGAACCGTTCGCCTAATTGGTCATCATAGTTAATACTGGTGAAGGGAAAGTCCTGTATTGCCTTGAGGACCGAAAACGCAAACAGGATCCTCAATTCTTACTGGTGCCATTCCTGAGGGATCCCGGTTGTCGTTATCGTATGCTTTACCCCCCGAACCATACTTTAATCATGGCAGACCCCGATATTGTGGGAATTATGGAAGGTTCCGCTTAGAGCCAGGATTTAGGAGCATTTAGGAGTTTGACGACTATAGCGATTAATGATTAAAGCTTTCGGGGCGTAGGGCTTAGGGATATTTACAGTTATATTTACACATGTGTGTACACACACACATCATAATATTTATACACATAAATATATATATATATATATACACACACACACATATTTATGTAAATAAAAAAACATATGCGTGAAATTGAAAATGACTCCCAAACCGCTCGGACACTGGGCCTTTCGCATGGGTCGGACTCCCACTTTTGCGGACCCTGGAGGTTGGGGTTTGCAAGGGAATCGTGTGGTGCTGTGATGCTGGGTTCATCCCTAAACCTCAGCCCGTTACCCCATGCATACATACATAGTACTACTGATAGTCTAATTGTATACATATGCTTGCAGAACATATGTATATAATATATTATTATAGTTTTTATATTGTATTGTTATTATACATGCATGTATATATATATATATATATATATATATATATATGTTGTTCATTTGTATGTTTGATCATGTACCCCTGCTTAAGCCAGAATCTGGCGGAAGCCTTCGCCGGTTATGATGCCGATCACGATGGACGACTCAGCGCCACCCGGGCTGATCTAGAGCCGAACCATCTCCAACCCTAAGGGTTTCGGGATTGGTTAAGGGTTCGTGGACCCTACGCCCTGTACGCCCGAATCTGGAAGGCGTTACTCATTTTGATGTCACTGGGTTGAAGGTTTCGATTTTAACTGTTTGACATAGGTGTGCAAAAGTTTTACGATGAGGTGTTGATGTTTTTTGAGCTTTCAACATGTTCTAGCTTGTGTTCGTGGAATTTGGTGAAGTAGAGATTAATTACGCCGTCCTCACATACTACCTTTGCAGTAGGCTCTAAACGGCAGATCTTATTGTTTGCGATTGTGGTTTCTCGTGCCTAGAATCTTTATTGTTTTTCATGTGCTGAACACTGGAGTTTCGAGGCTTAATTTGGACATCCAGTTTCTATTCTCGTCGGGCGTTCATCGCAGTCGTGTGCTCCACATCGGTCAATGGAATGTCCGGCGGTCCAGCCCAGTTTACGGTTTGGGGTTCATCACCCTTTAGGCGGGCTGTTTTGATCCGGGGGGCAGTCCTGAACCGTAGGCATTGGTCAGAAGGCAGGGCACTAGGCCAAATTACTTGCCAATACCATTTTGCAGGTTCCTTAAAACAATAAGAGTATAATCTACCCCAAAACCTTTTTGTAACTATTAAGGCCCCCTTTGTCAATTTTTTCTTTGCACGGCATGCCCCGTCCTCCCTGCCGCAAGACTATAACTCCGACTGCGAATTCTCTTCGAAACCCGACAATGAGAGACCTATAAGCCCCACGATTCTAAACCCGAGAACTCCGAAGTCCGTGCAGCACCTTTGCCGTAACTAATCCGAAACCCTTACATGAAAAGGGTGTGTGGTGCCCTTTGCTGGTGTCTTGCGGCACTTACTGGTGCGTGACATCGAGTTTAGCGATCTTTGCATCAAGTTCTACGTAGTACTAAATATAGTTTTAAGTAGTACTCAATATTGTATGCTCGTCGTCCTCATCATAGTCCTTACCTAGCTGTAAATACTGCAGAAGCGCGCCCCTGGACCTTATTCCAATTAGTCATGATGGCCTTTATACCAGGTGTCCACAGAATAATCTCGAAACCAGAATCCCCGGAACTTACTAGCAACGCCAAAATGGTGTTGTTCAGGATTCAGGTAGTGTTCAGGGTGTACGGGTTTGGAAGTGGCTTGTTCAGTGCCTGCTGAAGGGGAGCCCTTGACGTGGGCGGTCAGAAGATGTAGAAGCGACCCCGGCCTCGGCGTGATCAGGCATTGTTTCATGGTTTCGGTGGATCGTTATCGTTGCCACAAAGCCTGCGCCATTGTTATGCCTGCTGGCCAATCTCACTGAAAATCTCTGCAGTTCTAGAATCCAGAATCCGTCGCGGTAGCTCAAGTTGAGAATGCAGAGCCAAGCTTAGCACCGACGCAATGGCCGAAGTCAACTCGAGAGAGGCCCTGCTCCAGGCTGGCGTCTCGGAGGCGCAGGTGGAGGATGTTCTCCAGAACCTGCAGTCGCAGCAGTTGGTTCTGGCTCCGGCGCCAGATCTTCCAGAATTGTTTAGCACCGCCCTCTGGTCTGACTCAGTGGTCTCAGAATTGAGCAAGAGGCAACTTGAGGAAATGAAGAGAGTATGCAGCCTGTCGGAAAGCGATATCGATGCCGTTAGCGATATCGTTGAAAGGCACTTTCAATTGCCGAGATGCCTCGCGATTGGGGTGATGGCATCGCTTCTTCTCTTACCGCTTTGTCTGATCCTTATGCAGTCAGACAATGTCTGGGCGTATCAGCCAGCCGGAGTGGGGGCACTAACATCGCCTTTTGCTTTCCTGTTCTTGTCGTTGTCCTGGCCATGTGCAACCTTCCGAGCATGTGCTCTGGTCATGAAAGATCTCAGCGGACACTTTCGAGGGAACTTGAGCTTCCTGATCAAGGGCACAGAAGGGGGTTATCGACTCGTAGTGCGCTCCGAAACCAGGGCTGAGGGAAGCGTTTGATTCTGCTGGCTTTTTCTACGGGCGCAGCTCGGGGCTTGCTCGAGCTGCTGTTAAAACAAGCTCTACTGCGGTTGGCGGAGAAAAAAGAAACCTGCAAGCACAGTGAATGACATCCCAGTCCAGCTGACCAGTTGTTCGCTCAGCTGAAACCTGAGCCTCAAGAACCCCAGTGGATTCTAAACCGCTGTGAAGATCTCGTGAGGTCTACTAAACTCAGAGCATGACACCCGCCCTGTTCCCCAAAACTCGAGCGAGAGGATAGAGGATCTTTGGACTCCAACGCCTACATCTCGTAAATCGGAACCTCGAACCAGCGTGTGCAAGCCCGCCTGTGCCTCAGGGGAAGCCCCGAAACCAGAGATTTTCTGCCCTTTTGGGGTGTTGAAGCTAGGGCTTGGGGGTGCAGGGTTTTCTGCTTTGGGGTTTCGAAGATTTAGAGCACTGACCTAACCTGAGCACCTAAGCAGTAAACTTTAAACCTCACTGCGAAAGCTGCGCGCCCTCTGAGACCGCGGAGTTCGCGGCCGGCTTGGCAGAAATGGGCGTCGACGTGGCAAGGGCCTTAAAACTTAACAGAACAGGGCGAGACGAGTATTTTCTATGGTTTAGGGTTTCTAGAATGTCGGGTTTAGGCTTATTGGGATGGCTTAGTCGGCGGCGTCACAACAACATTATACAACAGATCCTAGAATGTAGAGTTGCCATTGTTTGGCAGAGGTGCTCGAGCTCGTGGGTCAAAGATCATTCCTTTGCGGGCTCGTGGTATCTAGGTAAGAGGGTTTACTCATTCGTGGATATTTGTGGGGCGGTAGGTCTTTTGGAGATTGACTGTAGCAATACTTTAGCACCTTCATTTTTGTACAGGATTTAGAGAGGCTTGCGCGAGTGCAGTGTTGCCAAAGTCTTCAATGCAGTGTTGTGGCTCAGGTATTGCTGCAGGTGTAGTTCGAGTTGAGCCTGTATAGGGCGTAGTTCGGTATGTTGGGGCCAGGGCTGTGTAAGCTATTATGGCAAGGGTTAAGCTTATGTTGAAGGCTTCAGGTTTGTGGACGAGAGATCTGTAGAGTTTGAGCTGCGGCTAAGCCTTTCGGATTCAACGTTTCCGCTCTCGTGCTCTCACCAGCCTTTGTCCATACTCTTGCCCGGATGTCATGGGTTTGGAATCGAAACGTCTTGAACCCCAGTCCCGAACCCCAATGCTATTTCCCTTCAGTTCACAAGCGCCTTGCTGATGCAGTATGCCCTAAACGCCTAACGTGCCTCAAGCTTCCGTGTTGTGCCAAGGACGTCATCGACCAGTTGGTGGCCAGTGTTGATATGGACTGCGCCATTGCCTCAATCTTGTGTTGCTATTGCGACGGCTACTAACTAATTACTGGAGTACTTGTACCATCGCCGCCACCACCACCACCACCACCACCACCACCACCACCACCACCACCACCACCACCACCACCACCACCACCACCACCACCACCACCACCACCACCACCACCACCACAACGAACGAACGACGATGCTACGACCTCCGAAGAGGACGAAGAGCAGCACCACCACCGCGACTGCCAATGCTACGATGCCGGCCACCGCGACCGTGCCTGCAACTGCGAGACAGCGAGGGCGACGGCGACGACCACCACGACGACGACAATGAACACAACGTGATGTCTGTTCCGGGTTTCAGGGTCGAGTGATGTCGAGTGCTTCGGGTTCAGGGGAGGGCAAGCAGGCAGCTCTCCTCCAGAAGACCCAAAAGACCCTAAGCCCTAGCTGAGGATGGCCATATCAACTACACCGAGTTTGTGGCTGCGCTGCTGCAGGTCCAAGGCAGATTCGGGGGTATACGGGTTCTTGAAGGCTGTTTGGGTCTAAGTTTCTTGGGTCTTAGAGCTTCGGGTTCCCAGATGTTCGGATGTTTGGGGTCTTCAGGTAGGTGGAACGGTTGCCTCTTCGCTTTGACCAGTCGGATCAGTAATTCTCTGCGTCTGTATTTCCCTCCGTAATTTGCTTGAACCTCAGGGGAGTGGATTTTCTTCCCTCAAGGAGTGCCGGCCCAAACTGGGACGATACTGGGACTCCTTAGCCGCATTGTCAGGTCGGATGAGGGTTTGGGGTTATACTGACTTAGACTTGTTTGGCGAAGCTGTCCTAACTTGTCATGCTCGGCTGTTTTTGTGTGTTTGCAGTGAGGCACTCGCGGCAACGACGCTAAGAAAAGTGGACAATCGTGACCACACCGGTAATCAGTACCAATAGTAGAGGTATGACAGATGTTGATCACAACAGTGTCAATGCTAAATTCTGCTAAATGGTACTGTAATAGTTATCTGGGTCGTAGTGATAGTGCCCGTCGAGATCCTAACAACACTCGTGATGAGAGCCAGAACAGCAGTAGCAGCTGCAGATGATGAACACCAATCGCTACAGTTGGCCAAACTCCTTACGTGTGTAAGTGTGTCAACGTTCATTCTTTACCCCGAAGCCGCAGTTTGAAAGCCCAAAGCCCCGCCCCAAAGTCCCTCGGCGGTGGCAGGCAAGCTGATCGACGACGTCGTGTATCACGCCTTTCAGATTTTCGATCTCAACGGAGGTCGGATGAGCATTCGAATTGGATCCTTGAGAGACAGGAACTTAAAGGTTCATGATTGTTTCGAGCCTATATGTGCAAGTGCAGGGTCCAGAGTCCAAAGTACCCCGTCAAACGATGAGGTGTGACAATTCTGAAGTACCCCAGAAAAGTGATGAGGTATTGAGGTTTAGTATGGCAGTGGCAAGAAATCGAGAAATTCGCTTGTCTCCTACGAAGCCTTCGTCGAAGAAACAGGAGGGAGGTCCCAATAGATCTCCAACCCTAATTAGCCCAACCGTACTGCGTCAAAAAGCCGAAGAACCGCAGACACTCCCCCCAGATGGTCACATCTCGCAAGCCCTAAACTCCACAACCACCTAAACCCAAAGCAGCTCCCACCAGATGGCTCACATCTTTTTTACCACCTAAACCCAAAACCCTATAAAACCCTGAACCCTAAACCCTGAACTCTAAACCCTAAACCCTAAACTCTATAAACCCTGCACCCTAAACCCTGAACCCGACCAGATGGTCACATCTCCTTGGACGAGCTTCGGAGCATGCTCTCGGGTGGCGGTCCTCTGTCCGCCGTGCTCGGCCAAGACTTCCATTTCTTGTGGGGTTTAGGCGGTTTAGGGGTTTAGGGTTTAGGGGGTTTAGGGTTGCAGGTTTTGGGGTTTTGTGGTTTTGGGGTTTAGGGGTTTAGGGTTGAAGGTTTGGAGGTTTAGGGGTTCAGGGTCTAAGGTGTAGGGGTTCAGGAGGTTTACAAAACGAAGTCTTCACATGGCTATAGTCGGGTGCTAGAACGGTCTTCACGAGTATCTTCAGGGTACAGGGCCGCAGCTCGCAGAACGAAAGTGCTTTGAAAGGGTTCGCAAAAGATGCCAAAGGGGTTAGAACGGGCTTTTAGGCTATATAGAGTTTCTGAAAGCAAGGTCCGGGTCTGTTCGAGCATTGCATGGGATCCTTCAAAGGGGGGTTCGCTGAAGGCTTTAGCCATGCGGCTTTATGGAGCTCCATGATCTGATTCGGAGTTAGCATCTGGGGTATCGGCTGATAGGGTTTCGGGACACCACGGAATCCCAATCCCGGTGATTCCCACACTGCCGTCGAGTTCGAACTCAAGCCACGGACCACGCTACTCCAAACGCCACCAGCGGAAAATCCGCGCTCCTCGGCATTTGGCGCACGAGGCAGGAACGGGTTTGGGGTTTGGGGGTTTCGAGTTTAGACTGGTTCAGGGTTTGTGGGTTGCGGCTTGGGACTTTCGGGTTTAGAGTTTAGGGGAAGTGCTACAGGGGCCTTATCATGATTTTATTAACTTTCTTCGCTGTTCTAAGTATAGTTCTAAGTTTTGTACCGCCGTAACCATATTCTAGCTGTTAAGGCCCCAGTATCATGCCTGTACTGTAGTACCCCCGCCAACCCCATTCTAGTTGTTGAAGCCCCCATATACAGGAACGCTTTATGTTCAGGTTCCGTGTTTGAGTTTGTGGCTTGATGTTTGGGGTGCAGGGTTTTCGTTTGAAGGCAAGTACAGGGCTTAGCAGGTCAGGATTTGAGGCTTGAGGAGGCTTTGGCCTTGAGGTGTTGCGTGCAAGGTTTGGGATTTGGAGTCTATGCGGCTTTAAAGTTTTTTCGCAAAATGTGGAACCCCAACTAACCATCATCATTCTCACAGAAGGGAAGTGAGTGCTCCACCACTAGGGCGCCCTGTTGTTCCATGTCGGCTTCACGAGCGACAAACATTTTTCGACAAGGGCGCGTTTGAGCGGTACTATATTTGGGTGTGGACCGACCTGCAAGCAAGTCTTGCTACGATACGCAGGACGAACCTCTAAGCAGTATTGTCGGGATGGGTTAGGTTAGGATACGATGATCATTGAGTTCAGGGCTCCAGTTACTTTCGCCCACAGCCATCGCACCTAGCAACTTCAAGTTGCTTGGCGTTGTGCCGCCAGGCTCAGGTCCGGTCGGGCCTGCCGGTGGCCCCGCACCCCGAGTCCTTCCTACAGAAAGCTGAAAGCTCGAAGCCCAAGGCGCAAGCCACCAAGCCTTGAAACCCTAAGCCCGAAACCACCTCAACCCACAAAACCTCGAGTCCCTCATCCCCTTCAGCCTCGAGTAAGACCAAGGGGTTTTGGGGGGAGACTGTATGGCAATGTTACTATCTGTTACTCTGTCTGTATATTCTCAACGGGACTCTGAGACTCTGAGACCTTCTATTAAAAGAAACAATCATAGTGAGTGTAGGCCCGGGAGCTTCTGCCCGCAGGTTGCCATGGCGGTGGCGGAAGATTGGCGGAGAGGCTGGGCGGAGGGTAGGTGGTGGCTCCCCTAAACCTTCGAAGCCCTTGAATCAGAACCGTCGGGCGATAAAGTTCGGGTTTTGTGTGTTCGGGGCCTAAATCTGTGGGGACATAGGATTTGAGACTTCAGGCTTTCGACTTCCGGGTGCAGGAGCTTTCGCTGGCGAGCTTGGGGAGGTGGAAGCCTTTTGTTGTTAGAGTTTTGGGTTTGGGTTTAGGGTTTTCTTGGGCTTGGCATTTGGATAAAATATACTCTGACAGTATTCCTCATGTCAAAGGGGACGAGGACCAACTTCTGAATTCATGGAAGCTTCTCAGCCACTTCTGGGCGTCTTTGATGCGGCATCCTATAGTGCGTCCTTCTTCAAGTGTCCCATGTGAGCGCTCCTGAAGCCTGTTGGGTTGGAGGCTTAGCAGCATTATAATAGCTACCCATACGGTAGCACCCACAAAGCCAATAATGCAACGCACACACACACACACACACACACACACACACACACACACACACACACACACACACACACACACACACACACACACACACACACACACACACACACACACACACACACACACACACACACACACACACACACACACACACACCACCACACACACACACACACACACACACACACACACACACACACACACACACACACACACACACACACACACACACACACACACACACACACACACACACACACACACACACACACACACACACACACACAGCTGGATTCGGCCAAGAGCAAGAAGAGGAGAGTATGTTGTATGTTGTTATCTAATCTTGCTGCCTCAGGGGGCCAGCTTTTTTCTTATCTTGCTGCCTCAGGGGGCCAGCGTTTTCTAATCTTGCTGCCTCAGGGGGCCCAGCTTGCAGGTACAAGAGGATGATCAGTCCTTTCCTCCCATGTCACTGGTAGCTTCGTTGGACACAGTCCCAGCGACATGCTGTGTCCCCCTGCAATCGTGTAGGAGTGACCCTCTGCTCCCATGTGCTAGGGAGGTTCACACACACACAGCCCCACCTTGGGGCGACTGTGTGCAGTGGAATAAAGCCGCGCCAGGGCTCCAAGACCTAAAACGAACCCCAAACTAAACCACAAGACCCTGTGGGCTGCAATGCCCGTTTGCAAAGCTTGTCGATGTGGTCCAGAAAGTAGCAATGTTGTGGTAGTCCAAGCTGTGGTGAGGCGTTAAAGTTAGGGTTCAGGACTGTCCTTCAGCTGGGCACGCAAGCCCCCAGAAGCGACAGAGGGGAAGGACGGCTGAGCAGCTGCCCTTGCGAGGGCCCAGATCCAGCCGGGGACTGTTCCTCAGCTGGGCGCGGCGGCCCCCAAAGGCAACAGTAATGAGGGTTACCAGAGAAGACTGCTACCCAGCTACCCTCGAAGGGGTCCAGGGCTAGCAGCTTCTGACCAATGTATTGCACATGTGGTTGTATGTTGTAATTAGGGTGGAAAAATTAGGGTGAGGACACTCCTTCCAGCTGCCATCAAAGACCCAGGAACGGAGTGACTACAGCCCAGCTACCCGAGCAGGGTCCAAGGCCAGTAGCAGGATTAGGGAACTTCACCCTCCAGCTGTGTAGCCAAGACACCCAGGAGCGGCGGACCATCCTCCAGCTGTGCAGAAAAGCACCCAGGAGCAATGGAGCGAGAGGTACCACGTCCTGCGTGGTCCTCAACTTAAGGTGCGGGGTTAGGGGGAGAGAAAAGCGAGAGGCCGATTACTTCCCGGAGGAAGCTGCAACCACTTGCATTAGACGAAGGTTACTGCATCTGCACTCATGTCAGAAACTCATGCCCTTGCATTCCCTGAGGAATAAAGAAGCGATCGAATAGGGGGACAGACTAGCGAGGTAGTCCTGTGCATTAGCGGCCGGTTACTGCACTAGACGTCGGTTACTGCACCTGCACTCATGTCAGACGCACATGCGAGCATCAGAGAGAGAGAGATAAAGTAGCATCGGGAGAATCTGAACGATCTGAACGAAGGCTGAACACCCGGTTCGTCACCACGGCGCCATGACGGAAAGCCGTTGCTCTGGAGTCTCAACGACCCACGCTGATCACACAGCTGGATTCGGCCAAGAGAGCAAGAAGAGGAGAGTATGTTGTATGTTGTTATCTAATCTTGCTGCCTCAGGGGGCCAGCTTTTTTCTTATCTTGCTGCCTCAGGGGGCCAGCGTTTTCTAATCTTGCTGCCTCAGGGGGCCCAGCTTGCAGGTACACAGTTCAGCGTCCTGAACTGCTTCCCACTCCATGGCATAGCTTCGTTGCATTGGGTCTGCCAAGGAGTGCCCAATGCCCCTGCAATCGTGTAGGAGTGACCCTCTGCTCCCATGTGCTAGGGAGGTTCACACACACACACACACACACACACACACACACACACACACACACACACACACACACACACACACACACACACACACACACACACACACACACACACACACACACACACACACACACACACACACACACACACACACACACACACACACACACACACACACACACACAACACCACACACCCACACACACACACACACACACACACACACACACACACACACACACACACACACACACACACACACACACACACACACACACACACACACACACACACACACACACACACCAACAACACCGTTACCCTTCAACTTCAACCCCAACACCCTGAAACACAAAAACAGCAACTACAACCCTGAATCCCAAGTTCATGCCCAAAGCGGGCCTAAATCCATTCATCCTAAGCCCTGAGCCTTAAACCGTAAAACCGTAAATTGAACCCTAAACGCATCTAAACCTGAAGACCTAATCTCCAAACCTAAATCCCTACAACCTTAAACCCTGAACCCTACCCCGAATCCCTTAACCGCTTGGGCAGGGAAGGCTGCTTGGGGTGCCAGCTCGGACGACGAATGGGAGCTACTGGCCTCGCTCCCGGTGGGAAAAACGGGGGCACAGACATTTTAGGGGCTTAGAGGTTTAGGATTCTGTGTTTTCAAACGGTTCATGGAGGGTTCAGGGCTTTAATTTGTATGTGTGTATTGTGTGTTTGTGTGTGTGTATTTTTGCTACGTTTGCGTGTATGTCATTGTGTGTGTGTGTGTGTGTGTGTGTGCGTGTGTGTTTGCTGGGTTGTTGCTTGAGAGTTGGGGTTTCCGGGTTCATGGCATTGGTTTGGTGGATGCTTGGGCATTAAGCAATTAACTAAGCCATGGAACCATATAGTTTGTGAAGCTGATCCTAAAGTGACC